AATGCCTTTACTTCTGTTTCAGTAATTTAGAAAATGAAAAGCTATTTGGTGAATTATTCTGCTTGAGAAGCCAATGTGTACTGAAGCCTGATAATTCTTCTGAGAGTTATTTTGTCTAAGTATGAGTTGTTTAAAACTCTAATGGACAAATCTGGAAGGGAGTCAGGAACTCTAGATAATAATCTTATAACAGTTAAATTATCATAGGATAAATTTTCAAAATCAAAACATTAATTAAATCAGGCAATGTAATCAATTTCATGTATTTAACCTTGCAATATATAAGCTAGGTGTTAATTATTTATGAAAGAATGATTGAAAGTTTGTTTAACAAATTAATAATTTGATCAGACATTAATTATTACAGACATATTTTGAAAATTAACTTCATTATTTAACATTGTAAAGTTGAATTTTTTAAGCTTCAAAATAAAAAATTAAGTTAAAAATAAATATTAAACAAAATAAAAAAAGTTCAGAAAAGTTTGATTGAAAACTATTACTTGCAGTCAGTCATAAATGAAAAATAAATGATGGCTCTTTGAATAAGGTGATTTACATAAATGAATATCAGGTAAATAAATTGTGAAATAACTCACCCTTCTGGATTTTAAACCCCGATTTGAATTCTGACAATAATCTCACCTTCCCTCATATTACTGTGTCTGTACACTGGTACCATAGAACTCTTAAGAAGTGAATTGTTGGGGCCCTAGCGGGGGAAATATCACAGTATAACTCGGTATACCACCTGTAAGCTAAATGGACTGGTAAATTTTACAGATATGCTGAGGGATCAGTGTTATCAAAATTTAGTGGCCCATCAAAATTATTATCTTGAGTTTTACTTCTTAAAAATAACCAAGAATATCCCTTTGGTTGCCTCCACAGAAAATATGTGTATCATTGTACAATGCATATATTCATCACATGCAGAAGATACCAGCTGCTGAAACGAGGCCTTCAGAAGGGGGATTTGGACATGCAACACAAACAATAGCTAGACAATCGATGGTATGAATTGCAGTAAATAAACATCTCTGCAGACATTCTCAGCAAGGGAACGATTAAGAGAGGAATCGTCACGGATTTACCCCGTATTTTGTTTGTTTACATGCATGTTCTGTCTATTTAGTCTGAAGTAAGAAAATAAAAGTTTCAATGCAGTTGCATGTAACCTTGAAGACTATACCTTAATGCCTTCGTGTAACAGTACAAAGTGAAGACATTTCTCATTGGTAATGAATTCTTTTGGCATATACATGCATTTAACAGACATATTTCCCAACTATTTTTATGAATTAAACACAGATGAGATACTTTAATTGTGTCACTTATTTCTCGGCTCCCGTAGAAATATTCCCAGATCTCTCCCACTGTTTTAGAATGATAAAAAGATGTTAATAAAAGATTCTCAGGTTCTACAATATGCTGAATCTTGTTTGTTTTAGAAAATGATGGGTACAGTCTCATTTAGCTTGATTACTTCAATATTGTAACATCACAAATGGTGGATTTGTGTAAAAAAAAAATTGCATTTATTGTGATAGAACAGAAGAGTAAAAGGGTGTATCTAATTACCATGTAATCCCTCTTCATTAAATGTTGCTTTAACAGATGCAGGGATACATTTTCTTCCCTTTCAATGGTGTACCTTTAAATGTTACCAGGCCTCATAATTAGCCCATCCCTGATGAATAATTGGACCACTGGCTGATGATGAAAAAAATTAAAGTATTTCCATAGGAATTAAACTCTTAAATGTTTGGTTACCTAATCATCTTCAGAGACAATCTTTGAGTCCTCCACTAGACTTGCATATTGTAGACTACATTTATACTAAATTAAATTTTAAAAAATGTCAAATAAAATAAGAATATACTTTCATTCAGTGTCTTTCCTAGTGAATTGATTGTGAAGTTTTATTATATATGCTGCAACAAAAGGGCACTCACAGTTCTAAAGTCATAATAAGATTGTGTTATCATGATTGTACTGTAGTATTTTATGAAGTGATAACATACAGTGAAAGTTATATTACTTTTTTCTGTCATCTGTTTTACTCCTTTAGTGGTCAAGTGTTCTCTTCTGTTAACTAATCAGGTGTTGACTGTTGTGAGTTTTATTGAGGTTAATATCAACCAAGGGTTCTATAATACTGATTAGGTCACAGGCTATGGTGTAAGAGGTGAAGTCAGAGACATAATACTCATAAAGTAATTAATTTGGCAAAGCAGAAACCATCAGAAAGACTGTGATTGCTGTAGAGATATAAAAAATATTGCCATGTATTTGTTCAAGATGTAACCAAAAAAATTGTAGAAATGAGCTTCCTATTTGTTGAGTAAAACAATAGAGTTGCATGGTAGAGATGAACCCTGTTATTTTAAAGGAGATAACACAGTAATGTTGTAGAGATGAATTCTATCATTTTTAAAGAGATAAAACAGAATATGTTTAGAGATTAACTCTGTTATTGCTTGTAAGATAACTTTAATGTTGTAGAAATTAGCTATGTTATTGTTTCTTAAGATAACATTAATGTTGTTGAGATTAGCTCTGCTATTATTTTTTTAAATATAAATTAATGTTATAGAGATTTGTTCTGTTATTATTTGTTAAGATAACATTAATGTTGTAGAGATTATCTCTGTTATTGTTTGTTAAGATAACATTAATGTTATAGAGATTTGTTCTGTTATTGTTTGTTAAGATAACATTAATGTTGTAGAGATTTGTTCTGTTATTGTTTGTTAAGATAACATTAATGTTATAGAGATTAGCTCTATTATTGCTTCTTAAGATAACATTAATGTTGTAGAGATTTGTTCTGTTATTATTTGTTAATATAACATTAATGTTGTAGAGATTTGTTCTGTTATTGTTTGTTAAGATAACATTAATGTTATAGAGATTAGCTCTGTTCTTATTTGTTAATATAACATTAGTATTGTAGAGATTTGTTCTGTTATTATTTGTTAATATAACATTAATGTTGTAGAGATTTGTTCTGTTATTGTTTGTTAAGATAACATTAATGTTATAGAGATTAGCTCTATTATTGCTTCTTAAGATAACATTAATGTTGTAGAGATTTGTTCTGTTATTATTTGTTAATATAACATTAATGTTGTAGAGATTAGCTCTGTTATTGTTTGCTAAGATAACATTAATGTTGTAGAGATTAGCTCTGTTATTATTTGTTAATATAACATTAATATTGTAGAGATTTGTTCTGTTATTGTTTCTTAAGATAACATTAATGTTGTTGAGATTAGCTCTGCTATTATTTTTTAATATAAATTAATGTTGTAGAGATTATCTCTGTTATTGTTTGTTAAGATAACATTAACATTGTAGAGATTAGCTCTGTTATTGTTTGTTAAGATAATACTAATGTTATAGAGATTTGTTCTGTTATTGTTTGTTAATATAACATTAATATTGTAGAGATTAGCTCTGTTATTATTTGCTAAGATAACATTAATGTTGTAGAGATTAGCTCTGTTATTATTTGTTAATATAACATTAATATTGTAGAGATTTGTTCTGTTATTGTTTGTTAAGATAACATTAATGTTAAAGAGATTAGCTCTGTTATTATTTGTTGATATAACATTAATGTTGTAGAGATTAGCTCTGTTATTGTTTGTTAATATAACATTAATGTTGTAGAGATTAGCTCTGTTATTGTTTGTTACAATAACATTAATGTTGTAGAGATTAGCTCTGTTATTATATGTTAATATAACATTAATGTTGTAGAGATTAGCTCTGTTATTGTTTGTTAATATAACATTAATGTTGTAGAGATTAGCTCTGTTATTGTTTGTTAAGATAACTTTAATGTTATAGAGATTAGCTCTGTTATTGCTTCTTAAGATAACATTAATGTTGTAGAGATTAGCTCTGTTATTGTTTGTTAAGATAACATTAATGTTATAGAGATTAGCTCTGTTATTGTTTGTCAAGATAACATTAATGTTGTAGAGATTAGCTCTGTTATTATTTGTTAATATAACATTAATATTGTTGAGATTAGCTCTGTTATTGTTTGCTAAGATAACATTAATGTTGTAGAGATTAGCTCTGTTATTGTTTGTTAAGATAACATTAATGTTATAGAGATTTGTTCTGTTATTGTTTGTTAAGATAACATTAATGTTGTAGAGATTAGCTCTGTTATTATTTGCTAATATAACATTAATGTTCTAGAGATAAGCTCTGTTAGTTGCAGAGATTATCTCTGTTATTGCTTGTTAAGATAACATTAATGTTGTAGAGATTTGTTCTGTTATTGTTTGTCAAGATAACACTAAAGATGTAGAGATTAGCTCTGTTATTGTTTGTTAAGATAATATTAATGTTATAGAGATTTGTTCTGTTATTGTTTGTTAAGATAACATTAATATTGTAGAGATTAGCTCTGTTATTATTTGCTAAGATAATATGAATGTTATAGAGATTAGCTCTGTTATTGTTTGTTAAGATAACATTAATATTGTAGAGATTAGCTCTGTTAATGCCCATTAGGTAACAAAGAGTTGACTCATTAATCAACTGGTAACTCATCCAATATGTAGAAAGTAATGTATTTGATTTTCTGAACTCTCTTTCAATCATCTCTGTTAAGTTTAATTGCTGAGTATATTTACAATGTTCCCATTCTGAAGCACAAACATTTTCATTCACACGGTGTCATTTGGAGTGTTGCCATTAAATGTGTTGTCTATTATAAACAATCAGATCACTGAATAATTGTACTTCTTGTTTGCTCTCTTCACTGCCAAGGTATACAGTGAAGGATTCCTGGTTTTATAGGATACTAATTGCAATTAGTGTCAAGAACAGCCTCCCACTAACATGGTAATCACACATAGTGGAGAATATAACTTTATTTCAGAGTAAGAACACTATGCTTTTATGCTGCAAGTTTGAGTGATATGTCTTCACAATGAAGACAAATGTCAAAAATTACAAAATGTTGTCATATGTTTTAGATACTGCCCCTCCATTGAATCCAAGGTGCTGCTTTTTAAAGGAAGAAAACATCAGATATGGCTTGAACCAGAAGGTAACTAGCTATTGGGAGATGCCGATTTCTATGTTGTGGTGGTGGTATGTGGTGACGGTGATATTGTGTGTGTAGGGGGGGGGGGGGGGTACTTCTTCAACAGTTTTGGTCCAGTTTCAATAAGGCTTGGTACACAGGAAGGCTTCACCAAAAAACATAATTCTTTACTTATTTGTTTTTATGCCTCCCCATGAATATGGACTGGGCATGTAGTGTTTGCAATGTCCGTCCTTCCATCTAGCTGTCCTTCTGTCCTTCCATCTGCCCTTCCGTCACTCAGTTCAAAGCTCAGTTTCAAAGAAATTATAGAAGATATTTTCATCAAACTTCATATGCTGATAGATATTGATGACAACTGTGCAACTGCATCAAAATTTTTGACCGTGACATTTCTTTTGACCTTGACCTCACTTTTTTAAAACTTAGTTTTAGCTCAGTTTTAAACATACCGTTCAAGATGGTGTTATCAAACTTCACATGTTGATACATACTGATGAGAGCTATTCAAATGCATCACCATTTTTTACCTTGACCTTTCCTTTGACCTTGACCTCACTTTTCTTAAATAAGTGTCTTGCTCAGTTTTAAAGATACCATTTAAGATAGTGTTATCAAACTTCATATGCTGATACATACTGAAGAGAGCTATTCAACTGCATCATTATTTTTGACCTTGACCTTTCCTTTGACCTTGACTACACTTTTCTTTAATTTTTGTTTAGCTCAGTTTTTAAGAAACCATCCAAGATATTTTTATCAAACTTCATTAGCTGATACATACTGATGAGAGCTATTCAACTGCATCAACATTTTGACCTTGACCTTTTATTTGACCTTGACCTCACTTTTCCTTAATCAGTGTCATACTTTACATGCTAATACATATCGATGTAAGCAATTCAGATGTATCAAAATTTTACCTTGACCTTCACTTGACCTTGACCCTCAGTTTTATCAAATTGTGTTTAAGTCAGTTTTAAAGAAATCATACAAGATATTTTTATCAAACTTCATATGTTGATAAAAATTGACAAGAGATATTCAACTGCATCAACATTTTGACCTTCACCTTTCCTTTGACCTTGATCTCACTTTTCCTAAATTAGTGGCAAACTTTATATGCTAATACATATAGATGTAAGTAATTCAAATGCATCAACATTTTTTACCTTGACCTTCATTTGACCTTGACCTTACTTTTATCAAATTGTGTTTAAGTCAGTTTTGAATAATTCATTTATAATTTTTTTTCAAATTCATATGCTGATACATACTGATGAGAGCTTTTCAATTGCATCAACATTTTTTGACCTTGGCATTTTATTTGAACTTGACCTCACTTTAAAGAAATTAGTTCATACACTACTACATTTTCATGTTGCATTACTAATATACCCTCAGTGGGGCATTCATGTCCTATGGACATATTTCTAGTTGATTATGACCATGAGGACTGTCTTATTTCTAGTTGATTATGACCATGAGGACTGTCTTGTGACCCTAGTTACTAAATTGAAATATCTGTTTAACTCCTCCTACAGTTTAAATCAGATTTCAAAAAGACCTGTTACAAAAGTGGAATAAATACTTTTTGATGATGATAATGATTATATTTTGATAATTTGATAATGAAATGTATGGAGATAATGCACAGTAATCAAGCTCAAAAGTCTATTATTAAAACAATACAAAAATAAGAGCAGAGCAAACCCTGACTTCCAAAACATCAGACGGGGATCAGGTGCCATGGAGAAGTGAGCATCCCCTGCTGACCAATCACACCAGCTGTGTGCTCCTTGTCATGATTGGGCAATAACGTAAAATTCATCATCAATTCGATGAGTAAATAATGAACGAACAATTAATATGAAAACATCAGTCAGCATTTGAGTTATTGATAAATTTTAATTGCTGACAAGGTCATTGTATCGACCACAGAACTTAGGAAATGATTACTTTAAACGAGACTGCTGATATTCCTGTTTCATCAACTCTTCTTTTCAAGTACAAGATTTTGGAGAAATTCTGCTTCATATGAATACAAAAGTAGGTCTGCTTATAACGGGGCACAATTGGTACCCATAGGAATTCCAACAGATTGTTGGAAGACCTGGTCTCCAAAAACCACATAGATATTGTCAATCAGAAACTCAAGCATCTTTTTTGATGTCAACTTCAGAGTACTTGTGTTTACAATCAGAATGTTTTCTAACCAAATAATTTTACAAATGTCCAATGACAAAGTATTTTTGAGTTCCATTTTTATTTAAAAAAACACAGTCTTCAGTGATATCAAAAAGCTTGGACTTGAATTTATCATGCGGAATGGTTCTGTATAAAGTTGAAAAGTTGTAAATTATATTTTAATATTGAATTTTGATTTCAACAATTGATGTTGCCATGTTGTTATTTGTGGGATTTTTAGTATGTTTAAATTATGTTGTAATAATTTTTTTTAAAATATAAAAGATAAAATGAAAAACTGACAATATTAGGAAAACTGCATCTTGTACTTGTATTTTGTAGGTTTGGACAATGAAGTTATCTATCCACAGGGGATATCCTGTACTATGCCAGAGGAGCATCAACTGAGGCTAGTACGAGCTATCCCAGGCCTTGAGAGGGCAGTCTTCACTAAACCAGGTATCTCTATCTTCACTAAACCTGGTAACTGTGTCGCCACTAAACCGTAAAACCAGATAAATGTGTCTTCACTAAACCAGGTAACTGTATCTTCACTAAACCTGGTAACTGTGTCTTCACTAAACCAGGTAACTGTGTCTTCACTAAACCTGGTAACTGTGTCTTCACTATGCCATAAAACTATGTAAATGTGTCTTCACTAAACCAGGTAAATGTGTCTTCACTTAACCTGGTAACTGTATCTTCACTAAACCAGGTAACTGTGTCTTCACTAAACCAGGTAACTGTGTCTTCACTAAACCTGGTAACTGTGTCTTCACTATGCCATAAAACCAGGTAAATGTGTCCACTAAACCAGGTAAATGCATCTTCAGTAAACCAGGTATCTCTATCTTCACTAAACCTGGTAACTGTGTCGCCACTAAACCGTAAAACCAGATAAATGTGTCTTCACTAAACCAGGTAACTGTATCTTCACTAAACCTGGTAACTGTGTCTTCACTTCACCAGGTAACTGTGTCTTCAAAAACCTGGTAATGTGTCTTCACTATGCCATAAAACCAGGTAAATGTGTCTTCACTAAACCAGGTAAATGTGTCTTCACTTAACCTGGTAACTGTATCTTCACTAAACCAGGTAACTGTGTCTTCACTAAACCAGGTAACTGTGTCTTCACTAAACCTGGTAACTGTGTCTTCACTATGCCATAAAACCAGGTAAATGTGTCCACTAAACCAGGTAAATGCATCTTCACTAAACCAGGTAACTGTATCTTCACTAAACCAGGTAACTGTGTCTTCACTAAACCAGGTAAATGCATCTTCACTAAACCAGGTAACTGTATCTTCACTAAACCAGGTAACTGTGTCTTCACTAAACCAGGTAACTGTGTCTTCACTAAACCAGGTAACTGTGTCTTCACTAAACCAGGTAACTGTGTCTTCACTAAACCAGGTAACTGTGTCTTCACTATGCCATAAAACCAGGTAAATGTGTCTTCACTAAACCAGGTAAATGGGTCTTCACTAAACCAGGTAACTGTATCTTCACTAAACCAGGTAACTTTGTCTTCACTAAACCAGGTAACTGTGTCTTCACTAAACCAGGTAGCTGTGTCTTCACTAAACCTGGTAGCTGTGTCTTCACTATGCCATAAAACCAGGTAAATGTGTCTTCACTAAACCAGGTAAATGGGTCTTCACTAAACCAGGTAACTGTATCTTCACTAAACCAGGTAACTTTGTCTTCATTTAACCAGGTAACTGTACCTTCCCTAAACCAATTAATCAACCAGTTAATCACAAGCTATCCCAAGCCTGGAGAGGGTAGTCTTAACTATACCAGGTAACTACCAAGGCTGTATTTACTAAACCAGGTAATTATAGGAAGATAGCATGACTGTCTTCATTAAATCTGATGGGGAAAAATTGCTTTGGAGTAGAAGATGATTACATATTTTATCATTGTATCTTATGCAATGGTGTGGAATATGATAACATTTTATCATTGATGTTTTAAGTTACGATGTGGAATATGATTACATTTTATAACTATTATGCCCCCCTTCAAAGAAGGGAATGCATATTGCTTTGCTGCTGTATGTTGGTTGGTCTGTATGTTGGTACACCATCAGTTTCTGTTCATTTTCTTTCCAGAGGTTGCACATATTGAAAGATTTTTCATAAGAATATCTAGGTCAAGTTTTGTTTTGGGTAAGATGGATTTTTTTTTTGGACAGAGTTATGCCCCTTGTACTTGAAAAAATTCCAATTATTTGCAGTTTCCATTCATTTTCTATGCAGAGGTTGCACATTTTGAAATAAAATTTGTTATACAGATTTATCATAAGAATATCTAGGTCAAGTTTCATTTTGGGTACGATCAAGCCACTTTGGACAGAGTTATGCTCCTTGGAGTTAGAAAAATTCCAATTACTTCGGAAAGGGGGGCATAAGTGTTTTACAAACATCTCTTGTTTTTTAAGGTTATGGTGTGGAATATGATTACATGGATCCTAGACAGCTGAGGCCTACATTAGAAACCATTAAAATAGAGAACCTCTTCTTTGCTGGTCAGATTAATGGAACAACAGGGTACGAAGAGGCAGCTGCCCAGGTATGACATTTTTCAGATAGTATAATCACACAGGTAAGACTTGTCTGACTTTAACTATGTCAGATATACATTTCAACATAATGTTAGACATACATTATAAAAAAAAAATCACTGAAGAATGACATCAGAAATGTAGAAAACAAGTATACACTTCAGTACACAGATGTGACATAACTTCAATACACAGGTATGACATACACTTCAATACATAGGTGTGACAAACACTTCAATACACAGGTATGACATACACTAAGATACACACAGGTATGACATACACTTCAATACACAGGTGTGACATACACTTCAATACACAGGTGTGACATACACGTAGATACACAGGTATGACATACACTTCAGTACACAGGTATACACTTCAATACCCAGGTGTGACATACACTTCAATACACAGGTGTGACATACACTTCAATACACAGGTGTGACATACACTTCAATACACAGGTGTGACATACACGTAGATACACAGGTATGACATACACTTCAGTACACAGGTATACACTTCAATACACAGGTGTGACATACACTTCGATACACAGATATGACATACACTTCATTACACAGGTATACACTTCAATACCCAGGTGTGACATACACTTCAATACACAGGTGTGACATACACTTCAATACACAGGTGTGACATACACTTAGATACACAGGTATGACATACACTTCAGTACACAGGTATACACTTCAATACACAGGTGTGACATAGACTTCGATACACAGGTATGACATACACTTCAATACACAGGTATACACTTCAATACACAGGTGTGACATACACTTCAATACATAGGTGTGACATACACTTAGATACACAGGTGTGACATACACTTCAATACACAGGTGTGACATACACTTCAATACACAGGTGTGACATACACTTCAATACACAGGTGTGACATACACTTCAATACACAGGTGTGACATACACTTCAGTACATGGGTATGACATACACTTCAATACACAGGTGTGACATACACTTCGATACACAGGTGTGACATACACTTCGATACACAGGTATGACATACACTTCGATGCACAGATATGACATACACTTTAATACACATGTGTGACATACACTTCAATACAAAGATATGACATACACTTCAATACACAGGTGTGACATACACTTCAATACACAAGTGTGACATACACTTCAATACACAGGTGTGACATACACTGGTGTGACATACACTTCTTTACACTGGTGTGAGATACACTTCAGTACACAGGTGTGACATACACTTCAATACACAGGTGTGACATACACTTCAATACATAGGTGTGACAGACACACAGGTGTGACATACACTTAAATACACAGGTGTGACATACACAGGTGTGACATACACTTCAATACACAGGTATGACATACACTTCAGTACACAGATATGACATACACTTTAATACACAGGTGTGACATACACTTCAATACACAGATATGACATACACTTCAATACACAGGTGTGACATACACTTCAATACACAAGTGTGACATACACTTCAATACACAGGTGTGACATACACTTCAACACACAGGTGTGACATACACTTCAATACACAGGTGTGACATACACTTCAATACACAGGTGTGACATACACTTCAATACATAGGTGTGACATACACTTAGATACACAGGTGTGACATACACTTCAATACACAGGTGTGACATACACTTCAATACACAGGTGTGACATACACTTCAGTACACAGGTGTGACATACACTTTAGTACACAGGTGTGACATACACTTCAGTACACAGGTGTGACATACACTTCAATACACAGGTGTGACATACACTTCAGTACACAGGTGTGACATACACTTCAATACACATGTGTGACATACACTTCAATACACGGGTATGACATACACTTCAATACACAGGTGTGACATACACTTCAGTACACAGGTATGACATACACTTCAATACACAGATATGACATACACTTTAATACACAGGTGTGACATACACTTCGGTACACAGGTATGACATACACTTCAATACACAGGTGTGACATACATTTCAAAACATAGGTGTGACATATACTTTTAAATACAGGTGAGATATTCACTTCAAAACTGGTAAAACACATGTGTGACATAAATAAAGTTTTATTTTCAAAAATAAATGGATTAAATTCGTTTAATTAGAGGATTGCAAAAATCTTTTTACAATATCTTATCCTATAATAACAATCTCAATGAAATATGTTTAAAATTCTTTCTTAGGATAGAAAAGGAGATTGACCATTTAGTTTATAGTTTATAAAGTTAGATCTGATGAGAACAGAACAATATCATATAAGTTTTGCATGCAATCCATTTTCTGCTAGTCTATAAATGACACCATAAATCTCCAAGTTGTCTACTTTGGCTAGTCTGTGGATTATAGCCATCCATCTAAATCATCGATGCAATACATGTTGTTAGAAGTGAAGTATTATTATTAACCCTATCTTCTGTTTTATCTAGGGCATCATAGCTGGAATCAATGCTGCTGGTAAAGTGCAAGGAAAGCCTCCCTTTATGGTTGATCGAACAGAGGGTTACATTGGAGTTCTGATTGATGACCTCATTACACAGGGAACCAATGAACCGTATCGCATGTTCACGAGTCGCTCAGAGTTCAGACTTTACCTCAGACCTGATAACGCTGACAAAAGACTTACAGCAAAAGGTGTGGGTCTTAATTTAATTAATAATTTGCTAAAAAAAATTACTATATGAAATAAGAACTTATATTCTTCAGATTTTTTGCTTACCTGAGCCAAGGACTTAAGTTAGCTTACCTGATCAAATTATGTTTGTTGTCTGTCTTTGTTGTTTGCTCACCTCAGCCGAAGGCTCAAGTGAGCTTTTCTGATCAAAATTTGTCCGTTGTCTGTCGTTGTCATTGTAGTCGTTGTCGTTGTCGTGTCGTAAACTTTTCACATTTTCATCTTCTTCTCAAGAACCACTGGTTTGACCAAACTTGCCACAAAGTATACCTTGGGTGAAGGGGTGACATTTGTTCAAATGAAGGGCCACGTGCTTTGACATAATCTAAATGAGAAAAATTAATGGCATTTTTAAAAAATCTTCTTCTCAAGAACACTGGGCCAGGAAAGATGAAACTCAAGTGGAATCATCAGGTGTGTAGATTCAAATTTGTTCACAGGTATGACATACACTGGGGTGTGGCCAAAATGGTCATCAAATTTTTACATAGGAATGTGAAGGAAAAATCTTTAAAAATCTTACTTCTTCAAGAACCACTGGGTGACAGGAAAGATCAATACTCATGTGGCATCATCCTCAGGTAGTGTAGATTCACAGGTGTGACATCATGAAGGATACCAAAATGGCTGATCATTTCATAGGAATATATAGGAAAAATCTTTAAAAATGTGACTCCTCAACACACAGGAAAGTGAAACTCATGTGGAATATCACAGGTGTGTAGATTCAAGTTTGTTCAATCATGACCCCCGGGGGTATGGGGCCAAATGGCATAAAAGTTTTACATAGGAATTTATAGGGAAACCTTTTAAAATCTTCTTTTCAAGTACTTCAAACCCATGCTTAGTGATACATGTATTTATAGAAATTTATCCTCAGGTAGTGTAGATTCTAGTTTGTTCAAATCATGACATACACTTCAATACCCCTGGGTGTGACATACGTTTCCCCCCCCCCCCCCCAGTAAACTTTCAGTTCTGATGTGACATATACTTTTTCTAGCCAATTGCTCAGGTGAGCATATGTGGCCTTCAAAACTGGTAAAACACATGTGTGACATAATTTATTCCCAAAGTTGCATTGTATATTGATTTGAAATTTTTACTTAATAAGTTAAAATTTCTGAACCACACTTACAAATGAAATTTCCTCCTCAAGGACATTCATATTCAATTTAAGTGTTTTTAAAATAAACAAGATTCTAATTATAAAAAAAAAACAATAGAAAATTGCATGTACTTACCAGTCCATTGTAATAAAGAAAGTAGAAGACATGCAGGCATTCCATCTTTAGCAGATCAAAATGTACATCCTGTCTACTTTTTAGCTCACCTGAGCCGAAGGCTCAAGTGAGCTTTTCTGATCACATTTTGTCCGTAGTCTGTCCGTCCGTCCGTCCGTCTGTAAACTTTTCACATTTTCAACTTCTTCTCAAGAACCACAAAGCCAATTTTAACCAAACTTGGTACAAAGCATCCTTGGATGATGGGGAGTTTAAATTGTAAAAATGAGGGGCCAAGTCCCCTTCCAAGGGGAGATAATCAAGAAAAGACGAAAATAGGGTGGGGTCATTAAAAAATCTTCTTCTCAAGAACCAGTGGGCCAGAAAAGCTGAAACTTATGTGGAAGCATCCTTGGGTAGTGTAGAATCTAAATTGTTAAAACCCTGATCCCCGGGGGTAGGGTTGGTCCACAATAGGGAATCCAAGTTTTACATAGAAATATATAAGAAAAATCTTTTCAAATCTTCTTCTCATTTGACCAAAAAGCTGAAAATGTGAAAGCATCCTGGGGTAGTGTAAGAACTTAAATTGTTAAAATTTTTAGCAATAGATATAAGCCAAGGAAAATCTCAAGTGAACTGCATCACCAAAGTTACTCAGGTGAGCGATGTGGCCCATGGACCTCTTGTTGTTATTGTCATCATCATCATAAACTTTCCTTAATTTCATCTTGTTCTGCAGAACCACTGTGCCAGATTTAATCACACTTGGCACAGAATACCCTTGTATAAAGGGATTCAAATTTGTTCAAACGAAGGGCCAATCAAAAAGTATCCATAGATTATTTTAGGATTAATGTCCTTAGTACCTTTATTATTGCATCAAAGTTTTGCTCTGATGTCTGTATGTATTTTAGGTTATGACATTGGGTGTGTCAGCCAGCACCGCTATATCCGCACAGTACAGCAGTACAGAGAGGTGGACGAAGTTATTGATCGACTCAAGTCCACGGTCAGATACATGAGGCAGTGGAACAAACTCTTACAGCGGCCAGACAGTACAAATCAAAACCAATTCAGGTAAAAGTACAGTCAAGGTATCAAAATAAACCTGGAAATAAAAAAAATAGTAGTCATTGGAAGCCTCTCTCTTAAGTTTGTACATGTATTCAATTTGTACTCATTTCCATGGCTTTATTGGTAAAATACTGACAACTGAGGGTTGTTACAAATGTTGTAGGTTATGTGATATTTTAATGTTTGTAAAGTTTTCAGGAAACAGACAAATGTGTGTCTTCTGTGCATCCATTCATGTATTCACATTCATTTTCCTACAAATCTTTATTTTGTTGTGCATTATTGTCTCCCAGAGTCCCTTTCAGATGCTTTTTTGGGGATTTTACATCTCATAAGGTTTACTGATTGTAAATTTATATGAATTAAATTTCAAACAACCCTTTCTTTTTACTTCAAATATTTAGTTTTTCTCAAGGTCGTACTTCCAATTCAATGTTAACCCTAACCCTGGACTTGGGTATTTAGATTTTGACTGAATCCTTTTACTATATATTCTCATAAGATATTTGTTTTTTGTTACAAAAGATAACACGATTTATATCTTGACATAGGGCATCTACACCTGTGACATACATATATGTGTCAAGGTCATACCATTTCCATTGATCACAATGTCAGTTGACTTTGACCTTCAAAATGTACTATAGTAGTTATGACCTACAAAAGAAAACCACAAAGCCACAGGTTAAGGAGAATCCATTATCTTCTTTGTCTTGTGGTACTTGTGACACACTAATTAATACTGGAACCATTAAGCATTAGCAGCGGAATTCTTGCTGCTTTTTTCCAAAGAACAAAAAGTTTATATTGATACTTGAGTAAAATATATTGAAATAATGTATAAAATATAAGGAGAAAAGGAAATAACAAGTTCTAATCGTAGAAAAAATTAGCAGTAGTAGACTCAAAAAGACGACATTTCATTTCAGTGCCTTCCAATTGCTATCTATTCCTGGGTTTACAGTAGAATCCATCGCTAAAGCATTGCCAGAGATATTTGGTGACCTTCAGTTGAATAGACACATTTGCCACAAGGTCTTTGCAGAAGGTTTGCTTTTCATATATTGCACATTTTTTTCTTTTTTTAGATTCATTAAATTAGTAAATATTTCTATAGAATACTGAATTTCCCTAAAAATTTGTTTTATCTTTACTCCTCCAGTTAGTTTTTATTTTCAACTATAGATAATATGTACTCTAAATTGAGAAATCAAAGATTGTTGTACCTATGAGATTTAATTCAGCTGGGTAATGCATGTACTTTTAATGGTTTTGGCTCCTTTGACAATAGATATAGCCTTCATCCAAGACCAGACAATGGAATGGGCTTCAGAGTATACTCAGTATCTGTTAAGTGGGTTAGGAGGGCATGGAATAGGAAGTCTTTAGAGACAATTTTGCCTCAGCTTTTATTCAGTCTTTGAAGTATATAAGTGATATCATCATGCCCTGTAGGGTTGTATGCTCAGGAGATAGAAGAACAGATGAGCCAGATAGAAGAGCTCCAGCAAGAGGAACAACTCCGACTACCAGATTCTATTGATTACCTCGGGTATGGACCAAAAATACCATTTGTCCTATTGTACATGTTCAGTTTACTGTCAGTCATCAAAGTTTGAAGAGAGAGAGAGAGAACTAAAATTTTAGCCATTTTTTTATACTCTGTTGTGATTTTCATTCTTTTTTTTTTTAATTTTTTTAAAAAAAATTTTTTGTTCTTTATTTAGGAATGTTACTACCTTTTTGTTTATTGTTGATTTTGCAATGTCTTGTGAAAATTTTCATTAATATTCTGTTTTAGATTAAATGAGATTTCTATGGAGATAAGGATAAAATTGGATGATGCCAGACCAGCTTCTGTAAGTTTCTATGGTATCAGGGTCAACTTTGTGAAATGCTTCATACATTATAACATGAACATGTGGAATATGATCACTGCATAGTCTTGCTTTGTACATGTACATAAAGTTTGAGAATAAATATATGTAAGAAATGAAAGGACTGTACTTGTACTAATTTTACTGGAATTTATTTTTCTTTTATTAGAATTTTATGTCTAACTACCGGTATGTTATGAAGAAAATTTTACACAGTAAATAGAAAGAATATAATTTATTATCAACATAAAATTAAAGATATGTTTTAAAAAGTAATATTTGGTATCAAACATATTAAATTCACATCAAAAAATAATGATTCAGAAGTGATACTCTATAAGGAAGAATATCACATTGTTTGACAACCAGTGCTCCTAGAGAATTGGTGGCCTGCTAGAAGAGCCAAAGGGATTTAAGCTTTCTCCAATCAAAATCTTTCTTTGATAATTTTTACGCTGCATATTTTTTAGTTTTATGTGTGATTGAGTTAAATACATTTTAAATTGTATATTTCAGATTGCAGCAGCCAGTAGGATCCCTGGTGTAACACCATTAGCTCTGTTAAAGCTACTTCAATTTGTCAAAAGGACTACACCTCAAACTGCGAGCCTGTTGTGAATTCATGTTTTTATCATTTATGAATATTTTATCTTGAATATTGCTTTAATAATAAATGTTGAAACTGTCAAAAATTGTGTTTTTGTGTAGCTTGTCTTTCTTGATGGTTTCCTAATGATGTGTAATTGTGGGTTTTTAGCTCACTTCTTTACTGTCAGCTCCTGCAGTTATGTTTTTGGAGCAGTTTTCTTTTTCAAGTACTTTAATATATGCCTTCTATTGATCAGAGATGCATAGATAACAAATATGCTTCTAGGCTGTTTCACTGTACCAGTCAGGTTCAGATACTGCATTTTCTGTTAAAGAAGTTAAAGTTTTTGGAGCAGGCCTCATTACCAAGAAACTATAACCCTATAATGACCAAACTTTGATACATCAAAGAAAGCACACTACCAGACAAACTTGCTCCTGGATCTGACCTACATTTTTCAGATGAGTGATGAGGTTCAAGTTTTGGATAAGGTTCATTCTAAAGTAACTAAAAGCCCTAAGTTGACCAAACTTGCATACATGTACAATACATCTAAGGATGCACACTAACAGACTTGCTTTGGATGCTGAATGTCTCCTACATTTTTTGGATGAGTGACCACATATCAATTTTTGTACAAGCTAGGGTAAATCCAGCATTTTATTCAAACTGTGTAGATCCAAACTTACAATGAAATTGGGTCTATGGTGGACACTTTCAGATGTGATTTGAGTGCATGATTTGGCCAACATTTTCCAGGTGAGTGATTACCGGTAGGTCAAAGTTCATTCCAATGGAACTTCAAGTCCTACCTTAACCAAACTTGCACAGTGATGCATCAAGAAATAAACATTACCAAATCAAGATTTGACCTACATTTCCCAGATTAGTGACTAGGATTATGAAGCAGGTACTGGTACATTCCAGTGTAAATTCAAGCCTTACCTTTGATGGATGATGCATTCAAAATTCTCCTCAGAAAAGTTCAAGAAAGTTTGAAACAAAATAGAATCGTTCCTAATGTAGATTCAAGTGAGTTCATTTCTTTGCCCCAGGGGTATGAGGGTGCCAGAAAAGGAGATTAAGATTTAATGTGAATATACAGGGAAAATTCTTTAAAAAGTCTTCTTATTAAGAACATCTGAGTCATGGTTAGTCATATTAAATTGGAAGCATTATTTCAAATGTAGTCTAGATTTCAGATCTTAGCACCTGGGGATAGGGTTTGGCTATAGTAATATTGAGATCTTTATTAGTTTATTAATGTTGGGTAAAAAATAGGATTCATGACACTAATGGCTACAGTTAATGCTTACCTGAATCACTTGGCCCTGCTTTTTAGCTCAAGATTCTGAGCCAAAGGCTCAAAGAGCTAATGTTATGGCCATTTGTGCGGTGTGTGGTGTGCGTTAACTTTTTAGAATATGGGTCATAACTCAAGAATCCCTTGGCCAATCATTCTCAAATTTGTCACAGGGTATCCTTGGCCCAAGGGCTACCTTTTATACTTAAACTAAGGTTGGGACCCTAGAAGAAGGGGAGATAATCAGGAAAATAAAACTAAAAGTACTGGTTGCTAAAAAGTCTTCTCCTCCAGAACCAGCGGGCAGATTTTCACCAAACTTACATACAAGGGTCGGGATATGTTGAAGATTAAAAATTGTTCAAGGCATGACCCTGGGGCAAAGGGCGTGGTCTCAAGGTCATTTCAAAGTTAACCAAAATTTAGACTTAATAAAAACGTTGATATTTTGCTAACTATAAAGACTAGGATCATCAAATCTTATAAGTTGATGCATCTTAGGACTTTACTTCATGTTAACACAAAAGTAGGTCACGGTGACCTACTTTTTAAATTTTACGGGCTTTGAATTTCAAATTGATTTGGTGGCATATATTGGACACTTTAAGGCCTATGATCATCAAACTTTGTCAGTTGAGGCATCTTGGGTCCTTGAACAAGGTCAACTTTAAAGTAGGTCACTGTGACCTACTTTTTGAATTTTATGGGTCATCTTTTTTAAAACATTTAATCCCATTATTTCAGACACTGAGAGATTTAGAATCACCAAATCTTGTAAGTTGATGCATCTTGGGGCCTTAAAACATATTTATGAAAAAGTAGGTCACTGTGACCTACTTTTTGAATTTTGCAGGCATTTGTTTTCAAATTGTTTAAAAGGCATATTTTGAATACTTTCAGACCTATGATCATCAAACTTTGTCAGTTGATGCATCTTGGGTCTTCAGAAAATGTCGACCAAAAAGTAGGTCACGGTAACCTACTTTTGACATTTTATGGCTTTATTTAAGTATCGTAGGTACTTTTTGGCTTAGAATCATCAAACTTTGTCAGTTGATGCAACTTGGGTTTTCGGAACCTGTCTATCATAAAGTAGGTCACTGTGACCTAGTTTTGAATTTTTGAATTTATGGCTATATTTAAATATCCCGGGTACTTATTGGCCTAGAATTGTCAAACGTTGTCAGTTGAGGCATCTTGGGTTTTAAAAGTAGGTCACTGTGACTTACTTTTTGAATTTTAGGTCACAATGACCTACTTTTGATTATCTCAGGTACTTATTGGCTTAGAATCATCAAACATTGTCAGTTGATGCATCTTGGGTCCTCAGAAAATGTCGACCAAAAAGTAGATCATGGTGACCTACTTTTGACATTTTATGGCTATAAATGGCTATAAGTATCTCAGAAACTTATTGGCTTAGAATTATCAAACTTTGTCAGTTGATGCAACTTGGGTTTTCTGAGAATGTCGACCAAAAAGTAGGTCACATTGACCTAGTTTTGACATTTTATGGCTATATTTAAGTATCTTAGGTACTTTTTGGCTTAGAATTATCAAACATTGTCAGTTGAGGCATCTTGGTTTTTTGGAGAATGTCAACCAAAAAGTATGTCATAGTGACCTACTTTTGGTTATCTCAGATACTTATTGGCTTAGAATCATCCAACATAGTCAGTTGATGCAACTTGGGTTTTTGGAGAATGTCAACCATAAGAATGTCACATTGACCTACTTTTGAATATTTCAGGTACTTATTGGCTTTGAACCGTCAATCTTTGTTAATTAATGCATCTTGAGTCCTCAGAAAGTTTCAATCAAAAAGTAGGTCACTGTGACCTACTTATGGTATTTTATAGCTATACTGAAATATCTTCAGTCCTAACTGGCTAAGAATCATCAAACTTTGTCAGTTCATGCATCTTGGGATATTTAGAGTTAGGGGCTTCAAATAGAAGTGATAGATTGTACAATTTATCAGAAGAGCGATTCAAGGCCCTTGGGCCTCTTGTTTTTTTTATCAGATTTTTCTCATTTCAACATGTATTCTTGTGTAAAATTTTGATTGCCTTTCATGGCCCCACCCTATAAAAAGAGGCCATGATTTGAACAAAATCAATCTACATTGCCAGGGGTGCCTTTGTATCATGGCTTTACTGTTATTGGGTATTATAGGAGGTTTTTTTTTTTTTTTTAAATTGCTGTAAATTTTATGTGTAAAACTAGGATCATCTATTGAGACTTCACCCCTTACTGTTGGGTTAAGGTTTGAGAAAAGTTTTTTTATTTTATTTTCTTTTTAAAATCCTTATTAAAACTTTGATTGTCCATTGCTGCCTCATCTTATCCCTGGGGTGTGATTTGAGCAAAGAACATGGGGGGACAAGGCGGGCAGAATGCCTATAGCGTCAGAAAATAAGAAATCATATTTAGTATGTGAATTGAGTATTTAAATTAACTTCTCATTATTGAAACTTATGAAATTATGAGAAAAAAAAGTTTTCTGAGAGAAAAAAGTCTTATAATTTGTTTTCTTATGTAAAAATATTAGATGGTATTCATGGGATTCGAACCCTTGCAATAAAAATATCGTACTGCTTTGAGACTAACGAACTAACCACTATGCTACACAGTTCATGTTGATTCTGGGCTTAATGGACTTATGCGAAAGTTTTGTCATAAAAGTGTACTTTAAAGGTAGAGTGGGTCTTCGCTCCATGTTTTTGTAAACCATAATATATATATTATTTTATTGCAAACTTTTAGGATTATTTTTCAAAAAAAATGGAGAGAAGACCCACTCATATTAAAAAAACAATTATTAAAGTATGAGAAAATGATTGTTTTTGTTCCTTTTTAGTGTGTGTATGCTTTTTCATAGGCATATATTTTCAGTCTTTGTGGGATTTTTGTAAATTGTAGAGATTTTACATTTAGTATACTTTAGTATTAGATGAAATATGAATTAAAATATGAATATAATTGAGATTTGATTTTTCGCACTATAGGCACTTCTCCCGCTTTATCCCCCCATCTTCTTTGAATCTATGATCATGCAAGATAGGCTTTGCTGTCCTTACCTACCCCTGATGATTTAAACAATTTAGAACCTACACTTGAGAAGTTGAAATGTAAAAATTAAATAGATGGACAGACATACAGATATGGAGGCCAGACAATGGAGGTTCAGAAAAGATCATTTTGAGCTTTCAGCCTAGGTGAGCTAAAATTTGATAAAGAATGGGAAAGCCGTAAAGAGTCACATTAATGTTGAAGCATCCCTAGGCCAAAACAGATGAATAAAGGTGATATAAAAGGAGATCAAATTTTCCATGTAATAGTTGAAAGATGTCTTTTGGGGGAAAATGTTATAAAAATCACCTTTTCCAGAAGAGGAGTGCATGTGATACATGCAGTTAAATCTGTAGTGATTTTTTTTTTTATTATTTAAATCATTTCCCCTTGAGGAAGATTTGAAGCATTATTTGGGGATCAAAATTTTCACAGAAATAGATTGAGAAAAATCTCTTTGAAATCTTGAAATATAAAGGAGTGAAGTTGACTCAGGTTGGCAATGAGGTCCATAGACCTCTTTTTGTGTGTGAGGGAGGGTGTGGGTGTGTATTTTTTTTGGGGGGGGGGGGGGGGTCAGTAACAAGCCTGAAGCATATTCTTTAGACCATCTGTACATGTCAATAATTAGATAGAATATTTAAACTCAAAATTATTTAATTCCTTGAGTAATGGAATTATTTATTTGTTAATTCATTCATTTTATTTATTTACTCATTCATTCATTCATTTCTTTATTTATTTACTTTATTTTATTTTTATTCATTAATTTATTCATTTATTGAATTTTATTTTATTTTTATTGATTAATTGATTAATTATTAATTAAATTATTAATTAATTAATTTATTTCTTTTATTTATTTATTTTTTTGGTAGTTTGTTTGCCAATATATGATAATTTGTTTCTCTTTCCACTGAATATAACTCCCTCAAAAATTAGCCCCCCCCCCCCCCCCCCCCCAAAAAAAAATAATTTGCTCTTTCCAATTTTGTCCGGAAATAACAGTTATGTTCATTCGGAACTTTTAATAATAAGGGGATTCATTTATACAACATCCGGTCGATCCCATAGGATGGAATTTCGTTAAAAATTTTAGTAAAATTACTCATTTATACAGGAATTTCATTCAAGGTACGAATATCTGCATTTGTAAAGAGATAACTAAGGTGTTACTGCTCTCAATTAGGCTCTATCTTTGTCTCTTCTGCCTAATCGTAAGATTCTCGAACATGTATTGAACTGATCACTGAGTGATTGACTTGATTTGAGTGATTGCCTGATAAACTAAAGTAAGGGTGTTATGCATTTGGGGTATTATTAGAATCTCTACATCAATAGATGAGATGTTGCCATGTTGTTTATAGAAGCTGAGATGGAACTTACAATTTGACAGCTTTAAAATCCTCAGAATGAAGTATACCCTTTGACCTATGCAGTTATTAAGATTTGTTTAATGTCCGCTTGAGCTTTATAAATAATGTTAGCATCCGTTATTTATGAAATATGATCACGAATTTTATAAGTCAATTGAATGAAGGATACACTTCTGAAATATTGAGGTAAGGAAGCACTGGGCTTATTCTCAAAGCATTTGTGCACCTCAGACTATTCATGCTATGATGTTTCTTTCAGTGGTGTTTAAACTTAGTATTGAATGTTTGTTTATGAGTTCTGTACTTCAATCATTTAATGATAAAGCCAATACAATTTTATAATTGTCTTTTAATGTTTGTTAGCTTGTTAAAAAAAATAACTCGCAGAAAATTGCTATGAATACATGTTTTATTTTGGTGATTTCCCTAGAAAAATATATTTAACTCACTAAGCAACAACATAAAATCATTTCAGTACTGTTGTTAAAAATGATGTAGCTGACTGACCAGCAATGGCAACAGCTGATACACAATCGGCGAAGCCTCGGAGTAGCCGTCGGAGACTTCATAATCCACAGGTGGAGAACGACTTCGCTCCAGGAGATGGGGAGCCACCTGCCAGACCCCCACCTCTGCAGCGGTCCCAGTCCCAGAGAGAAAGACCAACAAAGCAGCTGGACTTCTACCAAGCCATGCTGGACTTCAAAGTATGTTTACTTAATTTCTAGACTTATGAAATTATTGGGAACTTTCACCAACCCCCTAAATTACTAGGCCTAAAATATTATTATTAGGAATAAAAGAAAAATAAAAAGAATTCATCCTTCGTATTTTTATGTTCCTGCACACTTAATGCAGTTTTAACTCTTTTATTTCAAAATCCAAATTGTTAATAAGCTCAATAGTCCAATGTTGGTTCATTAAAATTATACATTATGTAATAAATGGAAAATCATCTCTGAGTCTTACACATTTGCTGTACTTTATTTCAATTAGGCAATGTTCCCAACAATGGATGCAGATGTGATTGAGGCAGTTCTGAGGTCTAATGATGGGGCTGTTGATGATACTATCGATCAGCTACTGACTATGAGTATTGATGGAGTTGACAAGGACTTTGTGGACATACCGCCAGAGCTCCTTTCCCCTGTATGTTCAGAGCATGAGGTTTTTACTAAATTTTAGCTCAGGCCAAAATAAAAAATACCTTTGTTTCCCCTAACGCTATTAAATCGAGAAAATAAAAATTCAAGTTTTTTTTTAAACAAGTTTTATAAAATACAATTTCATCAAATTCAGTTTTTATCAGAACGGCCGACATTGTTCTACTGTGATTTTCAAGCATTTGTTGGAAACAAAATGACGTCCAGATGTGATTACAGGCCAAGGGCATTAGCTCTTCATAAAACAATTGCGACGTCTCAATCTTATGCTTTTAGCCAATTGGACTTCTTTTCTCTTGAAACAATTCGATGATAAAATTTACCATGACTAATTAAGTGTGTTTCGGAGGTGTCTTGGTGTCTCTTGGTGTGAGTGAATAAATTTTCGAAAGGGACGTTAAACAACAAACAAACAAACCTGTCTTTGAATGATGTGTTCACTAGGTGGGCCCCTCGACTGGACATAAATTTTTATGGTCCTCTTTGAAGGTTTTAAAGGTTACTTCTGAAGAAAGCAAAATGCTGTCTCATGACCCTCAAAAAAGTACATTGATCGTCTATAAGCTCTGAACGCTGATTGAAGGTTTGAAAAAATATGCTTGTTTGTCTGGTCTTTGCGTATTTGAGAATCTTGTCCATTTTGTTCAATTTATATAAATGTAATGGCGTGATATTTCACAAGTTCAGTTGTGAATTAATTAATCATGAATTTTGCTTTTAAACGGCATATGTACGATACTTAGCATTTTGTTCACAAATTGCTTTCTTTTGTACTTTTCTTATTTATAAACGTAATTTTCCATTAAATTTTAGAATGTATTTTCAAAGCTGCTGTTAGAAAATAAAATTGTTTACCTACCTACCGACCCAAGTTGAGAATTTAGGGTCGGGTTAGGGGAAACAAAGATATTTTTAATTCCGGCCTCATGAGAACAAAAACAGTTTAAACATGACATTGTGTTTATAAAGCTGTGAAATCTTTCATTAAGAACTTGTTGATTGGTTTTAAAGGTGGAAGATGGCTGTCCAACCTACCATGAGAAGCGAACTGAAGATTCTCCTCCGTCATATACCGAAGCTGTCCAATCAAATAACAGTATCTGGACCACGCCCCTAACGCAAGCAACGAGTAAAACCTCTCCAACTCCGCCAAAGAGAAGCCCTATAAGGTAATGACATTGTAATGTAATGACAAACTTGCTTATATGTCTGCATAAGTATTATAAAGTACAACTAACATTAAGTGTTGATGACAGCACTAATTCCTCAGAGCTACAGGTGAAAGTTAAATTTACATAATGATGCTCCTTCAAGTTTTCTGTCAAACTGCACTCAGCCACTATATTACTGTGATGGTCATTGTATTTCCTCTTAATTTACTAGATCAAACACCACCCCTACCCCAAAGACTCACAGTCATGGACATAGTAAATCATCGTCCCATCATCATAGTCGGTCATCGCATCATCATCACCATCATCGCAGGAGCCACCGGAGTCGACAGAATGATGACATGGTGGACTCGCTAGCTCTCTCTAATACAGAACCAAAGAGACCCCTCCCCACCTCCTCAATAAGTCACAGCACCCCCGTCAAGAGTGGCTTCCGAAACTGGAATCCCCCCATGCTGGGCACCCTCCCTGACGATTTCCTGAGATTAACAGTGCCAAAGTCTCCAGATCCTCTCTCCCTGGAGGGATTTTTACCCCACAACTCAGAGAGAACTCACCACAACATCAGTAGGAGGAACAGGCACACCGAGCGACTGTCAAACAGCAGCAGTGAACACAAGAAGAAAATATCACGGAGTCGCAGTGAGCGAGCTCCAGAAAGACCCAAGTGGTCCCATGGAGGTGAAGGTTTACCTGTGGTGCATGCTGGGAAAAGTGTGGACGTGTCCCCAGGGATGTCCAAATCATTAGTAAGCCTATTTATAGTAACAAGAATATTTTAGGGTCTCAGTAGGTAAATTTTCTTAGACCCATGAAAGCTCTCTTTTTATGCATTCTATGGAAAGGATGTAGAATTATATGGGGCATTTTTTGCTTTGTTTTCTATGGAGAGATAAATTTTTAGAATACAGTACTCTTGTCATATATTTACATCCTAGAAAACAGGTGTAAATACTGCAATTTTCATACAAGTCCAACCTTCCTGCAGAAAGAAAAATTTGTTTCCTTGATTTCTCATTTTAAAGATTTCGATAAGAAATACTGAAATTTTACAGAGATTTTTACAGGAGTATGTTTAGATCTCTCAAGGTTATTTGAGATTTACTGTCTCTCTACGAAGATGAACATCATATATAGAATTTATTTGTTTATTGATGTTCATTTAAGTAGGATTAACATTCAAAGAGACTTTCATTTTACCGCTTAATAACATTTTACATTCTATGTTTGTAGATAATTTCCTCCCATGAATTCAGTCAGGACATGCTTGATGAGAAACTGAAGGAGAACGAGCGCCGGAGAAGGAAGGCCGTGAAGAACGTAGACCTAGAAATGTCCCAGTACTTGGAGGACGAGCGGCTTGCCATCGCTCTACAGAACAGCGAGTTCTTACAGGAGCTCCGGGGAAATGAGGACTTCATGAAAACTCTAGAAAAAGGTAAGGAATTAATGTGTATTACAGTTGATAGTGTACAGGGTCATTTAATTGCTAGAGTGACACTGGAAAGCTTAAGGAAGTTTTTTCTTGTTTTGAGGAAATATTTTCTAATTTGTCTATGAATTTTTTTGTGTATCATAAAGGATGTTTTTTTTAAATTCAGTCATGTACAGGGAATAATGTTTACTTGGTCTTGACAGATTTTCATTGAAGAATAAATTCCCCACATTTTTTGACATGCAGTGATCAATGAAATGCCTTTGCAAGGAAGAAGGATGTTGGAGATTTTGTTAATTATTTTTCAGATCACAGGGACATGGCTTCATTTGAGCCCACTATGCTGCCTGCCCTACAGCCAAGGGAGACAACAGGTATCCAGTGATCACAATCACCTCAAATTTTATTTATCAAAAAAAAAAAACAATGAATTTCATGAAGAGAATAAAAATACAGAGATTGAAAAGTTGGTATGACTTTCATAGTTCCTAGAAAATGACACATCATAAAAATTTTTATCTCATGGTAAGTTCATGAGAATAAACACTGGAAGGTCATGCCATATTTATGTATTTGCTTATTCTTCATTTCAGCTACAAATGGTTATGGAGATGACAGACAGACAAACCTGGAAGCATTTCCGTTTACCCAGAATTCCCCAAAACAAAAGGATGAAGACGCAGAACTGCGGAGACAGCTCAATAACATGGGTGGAGGTAAAGAACTGACAACTGGTGAATTTTATCACTAAGTTGTATGTGCTGTGTATTAGCTCATAAAGTATTGGTACATGTGGATAACTAAAGCTTCAGAAAGATAGAAAAAGCTGAAGTCTAAAGATGTTTTGTGTTTTTATAGCATCCAAGAAGCAATTCATGGCACTAGCCAAGAAGTTTTTCTCCAGAAGGAAGAAGAAAATGACTTTAAAACAAATGTATCCTTAAATTGTCTGTGTTTGGTGTTTAATTTTATATACATGTACACTGTACTTTTCCTAGTTATCACAATTTTACAGAAAGAAAATGGTATATACATGCATTGACCTAATTTTGGGTTGATTGTAGAATGTGTATAAATGTATTATTGACCTTAACTTTGAACCAGTCAGAAGGAGAAGCTGGCGCCCTCTATGGTGAATCTGCTTGATAGCGATGAGGAAGACTTTGTCCCGGATGAGGACTCAAATCCATATAATCAAAAGGCCGAGATAGAGCCACTGGTAAGAGCTAGTCAAACTGACTAGTTAAGTCTTATTTCAGAGTCACTCTGTCTGTAGGGATGTAGGAGTAATGGTTTATTTCTGTAGAGATGTATTAAGTACAGCTTTGTGGATGTCTTCATTACTGTAGAGATGTGTTTATGTCTGTTTAGATGTATTATATAAGCTAATGACGTGCTTATTTCTATTACAGCCAGACAGTTTACTGAGGATACCTAATGTACGGACACCTGATCATCAGCGGACCAGTAGTATGCCTGTCTATCACGACAACAAAGCCACAGACTTTATATGACAGCACCATCTAGACAGCAGAGAGTCGATAAATGGTGAACCATCAGACTATCACGGCAACAAATCCACAGACTTTATATGACAGCACCATCTAGACAGCAGAGAGTCGATAAACGGTGAACCACCAGACTATCACGGCAACAAATCCACAGACTTTATATCACCTCACTATAGACAGTCTATAAATGGTGAACCACCCGGCCAGTTTTAGCTAGAGACAGTTTTATTTCAGGGTACACTATGTCCTCCAAGCAATAAGTATAACCTCTTATTCTGAACAATTAATGCAATACATGTCTGTTATCAAGAACAATAGATTGTTTACTTCATTTTGAACAATTGCCAGTTTTAACATGGCTTTAATTGATTCTGTGTACTTTTTGTTACTGTCTCACAAGTGTATTTTGACAGTTTCTGTATTTTACTCTTAATTTTGTAAACATCATTAATTAATCAAGCAAGCGTCTCATGGTCTTTTTTCAATAATTCATCTAAAATACTGTATGTGCATTTTATGAAGAATTATTTTATATTACATTGTATAGAAGGATTTTTGTCTATTGTTGTAAGAGAAATAATATGTTATTTACTTATCTGAGTGACTTTTAAATGATTAGCAATTATATCAAGTATTCAGTTATGTATTTTTTGAGATTGATAACGATCAGCACTAAATGTTTACTATTAATTTTATCTTCTTGCACAATTTCCCAGTGCCTGAAAAATCTAATACAGTATTACACATCTATCATCTGTGGTCTTTTAATTGAATTGGAAACCAGCTCTCTATAAGTATCTATATTTTTCATTATTTACCAATTTTATATCTGAGGGCTTCATTAATACTTGAATTTGGTGAAATTTTTCAGTACAAAGACTTTTTACTTTCCATGAAAATTTAGAACAGCATACAGTAAACTTTTCTGTCACAGATCAGTGGGTATTACAAAATTATCCTCCATAAATAAGGTTGTTAGAATTAAAGGAAGCTAGCAGAGTGTTTCAAGATCTTGGAGCTTTAGTTTTACTGTTATATTGGTGCAGTTGTAGTTAGGAAGATTTAAAGTAATAAGTTTCCTTTAAATTCTTTAATGGTTTCTCTTGCTTTCTAACTGATCCTCATCTTTGATCTTTTCTTATAATTCTCTTCATAAGGTGCTTGTATACAATCAAATCAGTTGTATCTTTTGTACATAGTTAGATATTATATTTATTATTTGTATGTTATTTTTGTATCGTTATTAGTTTATACACAGACTTTGGGGTGCTGTATAAAACACTCTGATAAAAAACTTAAGTTAGACAATTTATCTAAAATTGCTTTAGACTTTTAATATTAAACTTTCAAATTGCTTTAGACATTGAACTCCCCAAATTGTCTGCATGGAGAATCACTCCTTGCCAATTACATTAGTGCAGTTCTGAAATAGAATAAAATTATTTGTTAGTATCATGGACAACTGAGTTCTACTGGACAGTAATACTAAATACTTTCTTTACTATATTACAAGCAGGGTAGAATATAACGAAGCTCTTAATGAAATTACTGATAGGGTATTTATATTATGATGCAATAATTGTATATGTAATTTCATGTTTCATTAAATATCACATACATGTACACTGCATGCTACGGTAAACATAACCTGTAGTTTTCATTGAACAGCAATTCAGTGTTTTTTTAGTCTCACAAAAGTCATTTTTTTAAAGAATGAACATGTCATGAATCTGATTGCACCATGATTTATTAACAACATCATATATTTTCAAATGTGATATCCTTTATCTGAAAAAAGAAGTTTCTTAAAAGAAAATTGGCTGGACTATAATTAACTAAAAATTATTTTGATATACGATGAAGAGTTTAGAAAGCAATGTAAATGTTCAATGTGTAATACAATTTTTTTTCTTAATAATTGGGATAAATTATCATTCTGTAATACATGTATGTACAGCTCCTTGCTAACTTTCCTGATGTACTCTGAGCAAATCATTTAGGACAGAAATACATTACACAAATGTATAAAAAATCATCTGTTGTATTTACAGTAAAACTCGTTTAGTACGAACACGGATATAGCGAATTCACGGATATAGCGAGGTTTTTCTGGGTCCCCGGCAAAATTCTTAACAAATCTTTGTAAAATTTTACAGTTATAACGAACTCTGATATAACAAATTTACAGATATAGCGAACTGATTTTGAGTCCTGTTGAGGTTAAATGTAATAAAATTTACATCTTTTATAACGAACTTTCAAAAATTATAAAAAATTGGTAAATTGAACTGACTTTATTTCCTTTTAGCATTTGTATATGAAATACAATTCATGATAAAACCTAAGTTATCGAAGATATGTTTTGTTATATTTGCTTCCCTAACATATTTGGTAGTAATACTTGAAGCAAAACATGCATATTGCGAATTCGCTATAACAGTTATACGTTTATACGGATGTAACGAGTTACGTATAGTGAATTAAATTCGGATATAACCGAGTTTTACTGGATATAGTGACACTGCATAAAAGGTCATCCACTCCCTTTATCTGTATGCAGTAACAAAGAATTGTTGTGAACAAACAACTGGAAATAATTTAATTCTGTTTGTATTCTTGTCTCTCATAATTTCCAAAAAGGAACGCATAACATTTTGTATAATCTGGTTTGGTATACACACCCCCTTGACAACCAGCTAAATACTCCATCAATCCCCTCATTTCACTTCGCATGAAAAATTCCAGATTTAATGAATGTACCTTTAACTTCAAACAGTTGCTCCTCATGTAAACAAGCATCATGGTTGCTTTATGCCTCCCCTTGCTTCCCATCACTTCCGTAACAAAGAATTATTTTAAAATTAAATTATAAGTGAACAAACAACTGGAAACGTACAGGAAATAGTCATTTACACTTTGTAAATACCACACCACAAATAATATAAATGCTAATGCAATATCATGTCTTATCATTCTCATTTGCCTCCTCAAGTATTATCATTTTTAATAAGTTATATTTTAACAAATTATAAATCGGTTTTAAATAACCCAGTGTTTTTTTTTATTTATTCACTTTGTCAAAGGATAGCACTCACTTTGTCATGTGTAGGGCATATTCACCTAATGACTAACCTTCATTTCCAGATTAAGCTTTAGTAATACTGTATATGTTATAGGTCTTATTGTCAAGATGTATAAACTGTATGTATTGAAGTATATGTGTATGTACTACTATCAGATGTATATTTTGTGTGTAGGAAATTGGAAAATATGATGATCTTGTACATGAAATAGGGCTCTTCATGCAGATTTTACTAAACTTGATGCCAAATTTTCTAGCATTAATCAAAGCAGTGTGATCTACTATCCTACATAAACAATCTGTACTCCTCATCTGATGTAGTTTTATGTCACTCTGTAAAAATACTCAACATATACAACTGTACGACATTTTAATTTGATCAGCACATACTGAATGAGTGTTGTGCCTTAAGTTTATAAGAACCTCACATATTATCTAATTAAGGTGAAATTTCAAAATTACAGATTTAAACAACAGAAACTCAAAGAGAATACGCGTCTTGATCTTGAAATAAGTAAAAACTTTTTTATTGTATTGATGACTTTTAGGGGGAAAATAGACTAAATCCCGTGATCACAGATTTTTGCAATTGCTTTTCTGCATTAGAGAAACCAGTTTTCAGTTTCTTCGAATTTGAAAAAGATATAATTTATGTGTTTTTATACAGAGTAGGAAATTTGTTGATACTTAACATACTACTGTCTTGTTTTACAGTAAGATTTTATTTATAATTGAAGCATGGAGCTTCCTGTGACCAAGTATTGTCTTTAAGGTGATGACTATTGGTTGTACAGACTACCTCTGTAACGTGTACATTGGTTATGTTAATACTGCGTTATTGTTATCTAGATCAATATGTAACCTGTTTATTATGTGTGTAGATAATAAAGTTAATTTGATCATTTGGGTTTTTCTTGCAGTATTTTTGTGTGTATTACAGAACAACTCACTTCTTTAATCTAAGAGTCCCTGGCCCTGGGGCAGGAATTCCACTAAGTAGAGGCAACTTTTCTAATCATAACTTAGCACTTAGCTTGTGTGCAAAGTACAAAAGAGTGTAAAGATTTTTAAAGAATTTAAGCGTTTTTTACCATTTTATTAATAAAGCTCACATGTTCAGTCGCTAATCATTAGACCATGAATTTCACAATTGAAATAGCTCTCTGCATACCATAACCAAGTTTTTCTGCAAAATATATTGGTCAGGAGAAGTTTTTAAAAAGATTTACTAGTATGCATTTTTCCATTGGCCATCCTTGGCTGACTCTGCTACGCTCCATTCAAACCTCGGATGTGATTGGTGGAGAAATATGCATCAGGTCGATACATTTCTCCACCTGAAACTGCCTTGTCGCTCATTTCATATTTCGCTCTGCATAAAGATTCTTATTTTGTCTAATGCTTCCTTGCAAATAGGCTTTGATTACAGCCTTATGTTTGTAGGCTTTGAGAGCAAGAAAAAAGTGTTGGGCGTGCCACAAATTAACTCAGATTTCAAATGTATGAAAGAAATTCAAATAAGATCATGACTAAATCAGCAAGATGGTAGAACACCTTTGACATCCGAGGTTTTGTGCAAGGTACGAGCCACATGAGTGATGCATTTTCACTTCATGGCCATAGGACTATGAGCTCAACCCTAGCACCAGAACCCCGGGGCCACAATTTCGCATGGTCTCGATGCTTAAAATTATAATCATGTCATAATCATGCTGACTATTTTACTGTTTGGTGCTCCTGAGTAAAGAAATGCTCATTATAATCATGTTATAAACATGCTTACAATTTGACTGCTCAGAAGTTTTTATTAATTTTGATGGTTTTTGTCCCAGCCCTCTTCCCCTCTAGGGACAGGGACCATGACTTATATATTTACACCAGAGAGGAAGATAAAAATGTTCAAAGCTGAGTGACTCAAGTTAAACAGAGTTAAAACAGAAACCTGGATCACTGTGTCATATCAATAAAGATATCTTTTTTCCTTAGAAAAACTTAATTTGTGACATGTCTTCCCTTTACATGTTGATATGGCTAACATGCCGATAGTAAATATTTAATATATTAAAAGAATTACAAACAGAAAAATGTTTTCAGCATTTATTTCATTTTCATTTGACCCTTTTTCCTAGCCAAAACTTTGGTTTTTGTTTTAGAGTCTTTGTAATATCTCCGGCAGATCGGCGGATATTTTTACGCTCTTTGTGATGCTCCCTCGACTTCTGTTGTCGACTGATCTCTCGTTCACTCTTTTTAAAGGTGAAGGTCAGCTCCCTGTTGCCTAGAGATCCAGATTTCGAGATGATGCTGTCATCCTGTGTATCCTGTAGTCTCTCTGCCAAAGACTTCTTGGCTAGTTTCTTATGACTTGTTCCCCTACTATCAAGTTCAACACCATCTTTAATTTCATAGAACTTTGGACCGTTTCTCTTTTCCAAATTTTCTGCCCGCCTGGCCTGAGCTGCCTCTATGCGTAACTTCTTGTGCTGTTCTTTGAGTTCTTTTGTCCATGTGTGTTCATCATCTGAACTTTCACTTTCACTATCACTCCCTCTTGTTTCTTCCTCGTCACTGACTTCAGCGAACTGTTCCATCTTGGCCTGCTTCTTCCTGCGAACTTTATCCAGCTTGGACACCACAGGATTGACCAGTTTATATTCCTCGCTATTCACATTGATCTGGAACTCGGGGTTGGAGAACATGGCCGAGAATCTGTCGTCCTCCAACAAAGACGTAGTTTCCTTGACTTTCTTCTTGTTGGTTCCTATTTCTTTAACATCCATCAGTTTCTCTGCTAGGTCTCTATTAACCTTCGGGAGTTTCTTCAGTCTAACTCGATTGGCTCTCTCCTGGTCAATCTTTTCCCGTATCTTGTTCTTCCTGTACTCCTCATAGGCAAATGGTTCAGCAATGGCCTTAGCCTTGTTGTAAAGTCTGTTGTCCATGAAAAAGCCATGCATGTAAGCTCTTAGTAACGTTGATCCTATTAAGTGGGACAGACCAAGTTCCTCCAACTCTCTCCTTGTTACAAATTTGTAATCATCATACACAATCTGAGCCGTGCTTTCCTCCAATTCCTCTGTCAGATTGTCTAGAAATGAACACCATTTTGGAGCAGTTCCTAATGTTGGTATGTAATAGGACAAGATTTTTTGGCCTTCATTAGCCATGAAAAGAAGTCCAGAGTTGGGAAGAAGACAAAGATCATTGAGGTTTGTGCCTGGTTCAATTGAAGTGAAAGCTTTTCCCGTTTCACGATCCCACAACTTAAGGATTTTTGTGTCCATAGACAGGACGAGATTAAGTGATTTTTGAAACTCGATTGATTTAATGGGCAGTTCATACTGATGATCCTTTACAAGCAGAGGTTTGCTAGACCGAATGTCATACAATAAGATATGTCCCGTGCTTGTTCCTACAGCCATATTCAATGCATCAGCAAACTTCAGTGCAGTCACATTTGGAAGTTCCTGAACATCTTCAATATGATTGGACAGTGTAATGTCTAGGATTCCTGCACCTTTGCGTACTCGTGGGTCAAAGCATTCCACAGTTCCTGACGCTGTCCCACAGGCTAACAGTCCATGCGAGGGATTTATCTCACAACAGTTGATGTCTGGTGATTTAGTGGTGAGGGGACTCAGAAATCTACCCTGCTCTAAGTTAATTCGGTAAACATCTGAGCCAATTCCACCAATATACAAGTCACAACTTGGGAAATGATAGGCCATATCTCTCCCATATTTTGGTATTCTCAATCTGTAATACCTTCCAAATTGGGAATGCAGTTCTATGTACCTATCACACTGAAGAAACACTAATTTCCCATAATCTTCTCCTAGAAATTGGAACTTGACAACATCAGAATCAAGTCCTCTTTCAAATTTGAGTGACATCTGTGCGGTATCGAAGCATTTGATTCTTGGTTTGTAAGTTCCTGTGGCACAGATGTATTGTCCATCCGGTGAGACTCCAACACAGTGACTAGCTGTCGGCATGTCAAAGTCCTGTAGAAGCTCGATTCTTCTCCTCACATCAATGTCCTGCTTCTGTAAGGAGCGCCTCTGTCTGAAATAGAAATAAAATATACGAAAATTAGGCCTATTACTGGGCATCTCTTACTCCATTTTCGCTAAATCAAATGATATAATATAAAATATATAATGCTACCGAAGTTCATAGTTCCAAATATGGCACTTACAGTAATATACAGATCTAAGTGTAACAGGTCCAGTACAATCTCCTGATTTAGCTATATAGCTTTAAATAGCTATATAGCTTTATTAAGCTATTCAAAATAGCTTTATTTAGCTATTTTTATACAGTTTTTCACAAAAATATTTATTGCTG